CCACCCACCTGTGCTGGGTCCCTTCCCCTGGAGATCCCACCCACCTGTGCTGGGTCCCTTCCCCTGGAGATCCCACCCACCTGTGCTGGGTCCCTCTCCCTGGGCTGCAGAACCCACCCAGGTTCCCCCGGGCATCCCCAGCCCTACCTGGGCAGCCCCATCCCATCCAGCACCAGCTCGAAGGACGCTCCCGAGGTGCCGAAGCTCAGGATGTCCCCCGGCCTCACCCTGACGGCCGCGTTTTGGACCTGGCAGCTGTTGACAAAGGTGTTGTGGGGGGAGCTGAAGTCCTGAAGGATGAAGCTGTTGTCTGAGATGGAGAATTCCAGGGCTGCATGACCATCTGCTACCCCTGCAGCCTGGGAGCAGGCAAGGGACAGGCAGGGAACGCTGCTGGAGGTGGCTCCAGGTTCGTCCCTGCTTTGCCAAGCCCCTTTTCTGGCCGTCAATCCCGGCATTAACTCGTACCTCCAGACTTTGCACGGAGGATTCCAGCACATCCTCTTCCCTTCCCTCCCTCCTTCACGTTTTAGGATGCTCGGCCGACGATGCCGGCCCCTCCGTGGCTCCCGATGGTCGTGGTGTCGGATTTCAGCTGGAAACGCTTTGGAAAGGCTCACCTTGCCCGGCCCTCTCACCTGCAAGGCTTCCACCAAGAAACCAACTTCTCATTCAGATCCCACCCAACACAACCTGAGTCACGAGCAGCTCAACAAACTCAGGCACTAGAATTGTACAAACTCACCCCAAAAGCGGCTGTGACCCAGCTGGCAGAGTGGCTGCAGTAGCCTTGGAAACCTTGGCCATGCTGCAGACTGGGTGAGTTTTTCCTGTTTGTTTAGTTTAGTTTAGGGTTTTTTCCTCTCCTTTTTCCAAGCAATTGTCCTGGCAGCACAACACAGCTCCGTGCTGGCGTGGTCACAGCGATCCCATCAGCTGGGGACATAAATGGGAATGTGTATCCCAAATCCCACAGGGGCCCTGCCACCTGCCAGGGCTGCTAAAGATCCTTTTTGCCCCCATTTTACTTATTTTTTATTTACTATCATGCACACACACACCAACAGGTGTTGCAACCTCAGGCAAGGGGGATAAACACTGCTGTCAGGTGGATGCTGTTACCCATCAGTGCTTCTCCATCCTTCCTTGGTCCTAGGCCACCACACCCTTCTACAGCAGAAAAAAAATGGGGGAAAAGCCACACTTGCCACCACCAAACCCCAGCTTGGCCTCACAAGCATTGCAGGATTTCATCACGCTTCATTTCAAGGCGGAAGCAGCAGATTTGGCAATGCAGAGCTTCTCTGCAAACCTCTGCCAGTCTGAAGCCATTCACTTTAGACCTGCCACTCCCTGCCTTTGTCCTAAACAACAGAAATTAGGAAATGCAACAGGAAATAATGATTAACAAGAGAAACTGTCGGGTGGTTTTGGGCCAGCATTTCTACTCCACCTTTGTTTTGGTCACTTGGACTCCTCTCATGCCTTTTATCAACTGCAGCACCAAGCCAGCCTCTGCTGAGCCACAACATGGACCTGGCCCAGGGGTGGGTCAGTGGCTGCACTCGATGACCTTGGAGATCTGTTCCAAGCCACACCATTCCAGGATTACATGGATATCAGCATCACACTGGCAAATCCCACCTCAGAGTGCCCGAGGGAGCCCGTGGCTGGATGTGCTGATGGACTCTGTGGCTGATGGCTTTGCTGGAAGCCTGCACAGGGCTGGGATGCCCATGGAGCAGCATCTGCCCATGGATCACAAACCTTGGGAAGGGCCAACCATGCACGAGTACACAACACACACACACACAGAATGTACACAACACACACACAATGCACACAACACACACACACACAGAGCGTACACAACACACACACAATGTAAAAAACACAGCATACACAACACACACAACATTTACAACACACAGTGTACACAACACACAATGTAAAAACACACAGAGCAAACACACACAACATTTACAACACAATGTAAACAACATACTCACACACAATGTACAAAACACACACAAACACAACATACAAAACATTTATTCAGACCAGTCTGCCTGCACAGGATGCTCAGCAGTGGTTTCACCCCTGGCACTGGCACACGCAGCTCCCAACCCCCCAGAATCACCCACTTGCCTCAATTGGAGCACAAAACACAACAGGGAAAGCAGCAGAGGCACGAAATCCATCCTCTCCCTGAGGAGCAGGAGGCCCCTTTCAGCTGCTTCCCACCAGCCAGCAGAGACCTTGGCAGGAGTCAGGGCTGGCTCTGGGCCACCAGCCCAGCACACTTGGGAGCCAGGGAAAGCCGTGGTGCTTCTCTGGCAATGCGCTTCCCCTTCCTCAGAAAGAAAAGACACCAAAAAAAAGGAACATTTTCCACTTGGAAAATCCTTCTGCAACATCAGTTTGGTGGCTTGGAAAAGTCTTGCTGGAAGAGAGGGGGAGAGGAGATGAGAGGATGCACTGGGTGGTCTCATATCAAACACCATAAGTGACACTTTTGGCATGTCCAGCCTTCATTTACTTCACAGCAGCAGAACTTCTGGTGTTGAGGTTTCTTTCCCCCCAGTCTTTTGTAAAACCCAGTCCCTGGGAAAATGAGTCCCATCCTTGTGCTACAGCACATCCTCCACGTGGCAGCTTTCAGGGAGCCCTGGCTGCTTCTGCACCCCCACAGCAACCCCCTATTGGCACGGTGGGTTTTAGAAAACCCTCAACCAAGCAGCATCACAGATTCCTCTTTCCTCTTTTTTTTTTTTTTTTTTTTTTTTTTTTTTGTTTTTTTTTTTTTTTTTTTTTTTTTTTTTTTTTTTAAGGCATTTGCTGGCTCACTGGCATTTTCTCCTGGATCTCCTCGTACTTGGGCGGAGGGGTGAGGGGCTCTATCGTGATGGGGACGCTGCTGCTGTTGCCCTCTGCCAGGTTTAGCCTGATGTCCTTGAGGTGCAGCTTCTCTGACTTGATCCTGCGGACCTTGAGGGGCTTGAGGCGCTTGCTGAGGCGGGAGCTGTGGCGGCTGGGCGGCCTCTCCGCGCCCGGCTCCCCGCCCGCGGCCCCCGGCGCCGCGCCGCCCTCCTCCAGCCCTGCCAAGGACTCGTAGGAGGGCAGGGACACGCTCAGCCTGTTGCTCCTGTCCGAGTCTCTGGGCTCCGAGTAGCCCGTGTTCATCACCTCCTCGTAGCTGGGCACATAATATTGGGAAGAGACGTCTTCATCCTCTTCTTGACTGGAGGGGAAAGAGTTAAGTCTGGGTAGCATTTCAACTTCGTTGTGGGAAGGGGATGGAGAGGGAAGAATAAAACCACCCCACCCCACCAGAAATAGTTTTTGTCCTTCTCTATTATACGCCAGTTTCCTTTTGCTTGACAGAATAAATTGTGACCCCACCTAAATTCAGACGGATTTTATTTTCTTGTGACTTATATCTGATCATCACTTTCTCTGCTCACAGACCTTTTTCTATTCTATTCAGCAGTGATTTCTTCCCTCAAGAGAACATCAGTTTCTCTACTCCATTCACAAAAATCAGTCAAAATACATTAGAAAAGGACATCACCCCTCTGTCATTCTGATTTCTTATGGGCTGGGTACCTCGGGTTTTTCTGCAAAGAGATTCAACTCTATGCCACCATTATGGACAGATACCTGCAACCCATACTTGCCATTTCTTTGGCATTCTGAAGTTAACTTTCCAATCAAACATGGAAAATCAGTTTTCTTTGAGGATGTGCAGACCCTGACAAGAGCAAGCAGAGCCATTGTCCCCATGCACCCCACACTGTCTCAATGCTCCCCTGCCTCTCTCTGCTGATGGACAGGTACTTCCCCCATGCCTGTGTTTGTCCGGACTGTGCCTGCTGTGGCAGCAGCCTTTGCTCTGCCCCACAAAGCTCCCTGAGCAAACAGCTGAGCCCTGCAGACTTTCACCGGGTCTAAACTCCAAGGCCATTCTCCAAGGCTGTTTGGCACCTTGGCTGCAGCCAGAGAGGCAGAGTCAGCTCCCCTCCTGCCCCTCTGGCTGCTCTCCCCGTGTGTGGCAGGAGCCTCCTGCTCTCCGTGTCACCCACGACCCTGCCCAGCGTTCCCTGAGCTCATTCCCATGCCAACCCCACCAGGAGTGCACCTCTCCCGGCTCTGCCCTGGCCCAGCTCTGTCTAGAGCCCACCTCACCACCAACAGGGCTCCCTTCCTAAATGCAGCTGGAGCTGTTCCTTCTCCATCTCCAGCACACACCAAACCCCTAACCTACGGAATGTGCTTCCTTATTTCAGCACATGCTGCCTTCCTCTCCTTGCTCCAGATCTTCCCGAGTACCAAGAGCCCTTGGCTTCCTTCCCACACCCGACCCCGCTCCCTTTGCCCCCAGTGCTCCTCCTCACCTGTCCTCCTGCTGCGAGGGCTCCGTGGACACCTGGTGCTGCACGTGAGCGATGGCGAGGTCCTCGCTCTGCCTCTTCTTGTCGCGCACGTTGAGGCAGAGGGAGAGCAGGAGCAGCAGCACGCCCGCCCCCACCAGCACGTAGGCCACCGAGAAGGTTTTGCTCTTCAGGATGCCGCCGGAGCCGCGGTCGGGCTTGCTGCTGTTGCTGGCCTGGCTGCCGGGTTTGTCGGGGGGCCCGAAGCCGGGCACGAGGTTCCACACGGCCATGATGATGCCCAGCACCAGCATGCCCAGCCCGATGGCCGTCAGGGCGTAGTGGGAGCTGCTGGCCCGGGACTGGGCCATGGCTGCTGGGGGCTGTCCCCACGTCACCGCATGGCTCGGGGCAGGGGGGCTGCAGCCCTGCTGGCATGCGTGCGGCCCCCTCCCCGGGCAGGCGAGCTCTGGGGACACAGGGGAAGCTGTGGTGAGTGCAGGGCCGACAGCAAAGGCTCTGCAGCCACCACGACACCAATTTATCCAACTGATGCTGGAATCTCACGCTGCCATGCCTGAGGAGTGCATGTCAGGAGAGAGCAGGGCAGGTGGATCCTTCCTGGCTGTTCTCATCCCCATCCTTCACTACTTTCCCAGCTGTAATATCCACCAACCTTTGAAAGCAATCAAATCACTGATGTTTGCTAAGGGCTTAGGTTGCCTGTCCTTAGGAGTGTGATAACTGATAGCTTCACAGCACTAAAAGGAGGCCATCAAAATCTATTTCAAGAGCTGTTGTCAATGCAACCCAACTTGGAAATGCTCAGAAACCCATCTCTAGCTGAACAGGTTCTTCCTTCCCCCTGTTTGAGAGGGAGCAGGGCTCCTCACAGCACTGGCTGCCTGCCCTGGAACGCCTTCCTGCCCAGAGAATAGAAACCAAAACTGCCTCTCCCAGCCAGCTCGACCCTGTGGCTTCCCCCAGCTGCTGCTGGCAAGGGCTGCCGGGATGATGAGCCCTTGCTAGGGCCCCAGGCTCACTCTTACCCTCCCCAAGCTGGTGCTGAGTGCCCCACCTGCATCCCTCAGGGATGTCAAGCACAAACACTCCCGACCAGCCAGGCCACGGGTGGGAACTCCTTTGTTTTCTGAGTCACCAGAACCAAACGTGCTCGATTTCCAAAAATAAACACACAGAGCCACATCTCCTGCCCACTCGCCTCCCTGGCCTCGGGTCCCGTGACCCACTGGTGGGCAGCTTGCATCCTCACAGCACAAGTGCCCCATCTCCAGCCCAGTGAGCCTTGCAGATTTATGGATGTGCCATGTCAGAGATCTCTCCTTCCCACCCTGGCTTCTTTATGCCAAGTTGGGCTCGAGGAAGCTCTGGTCTGTGCTGTCAGTGCTGCTATATCCATACACCCCCCACACACCCTTCAGTTCAACCCTCCTGAGCTCAAAAGCAAAATGTTTGCTTGTTTAGCTTGAGTGCACACCCAGTTTGCAGGGTCAAGGGCCGGACTAAAACAGCACTCCCAGAAAATGGAGCGGCTGCAGCAGGAAAAGACACGCACGCAATCCCGGAGAGGAGGAATCTGCAGAGGAACTTCCCTGCTCACTGCCCGTGCTCCAGCATGGCTGTGCAGACTCCCAGAGCGGTGTCCCAGTCCCTCTGGACACACCCCTGGCCCCACATGGCTCTGGGCAGGGTAAAGTCTTGTCCCCCATGGTTTTCTGGGGTTCTGGGACACCCAGGAGCTGCCGATCCCAGCCCGATGGGAGCTGCCCTGGCAGGCAGGGACAAGCCCATCATTCCCTGCCTTGCCCAGCTCCAGCATGGACTGCTGCTCTGTGTGCTCCTGGGGGAAGGTATCCAGTGAGCCCAGCTTTAATTCCATCCCAGTGAGCAGCTGTTGAGGATGTGGCAATGTCCTCACCTGCATCCCAAGAGCCATCCTCCTACCCAAGCGCTTCCCAGCCTGCCACTGGTGGTACCAGCACTGGCCTCTGCCCTCCCACACAAAGGTTTTGCTCTCTGCTTGTGCCCTGCGGAGTTTTTTCCTCACCTGATGATCCAGCTGAGCTCCCATCCTTGCCACAAACACATCAGCCAGCCAAGACTTTAGCTGAGAACAGCTGTGATGGCCTTGGGGCAGGAAAATCACATGCACCCATGGCTGGTCACATCTACCCGTGGTGTCTAAATCTCTGTGCCTGCTCACAGCCTCTGTGCCTCCCCTTAGGCACCTCAGTCCTGGAAGTGGGCAGGATTAAAGCTCCTACGTCACCCCTGTGCCTGGAAGTTTTTTTACAGATCCATTGCAGTGCTACCCATCAGCCCAGCAATCAGATTAAAGCAGGAGACTTGCTATTCCAGTCTATTTCTCCATTGAATTAGCTGCTCTCCTGGCTTCCCAGAGCTGTTCCTATCACTGCTCCAACAGTGCCTGACGTCAGTATCCCGGGAAGGGAGCTGCTGCTGCCTCTGCCTCAGGTCCAGCATCTCTGGACCTGGCAGAGACCTCCATCTCTGCCTCTGGATGCTCATCCCAGCATCACAGAATGGTTTGGGTGGAAAGGGACCTTGAAGTTCATCTCACCTCACCCCCTGCCATGGGCAGGGACAACTTCCACTATCCCAGGTTGCTCCAAGTTCCATTCAACCTGGCCTTGAATACTTCTTGGAGTGGGGCAGCCACAGCTCCTCTGGGCAACCTGTGCCAGGGCCTCACCACCTTCACGGGGAAGAATTTCTTCCTAAATATCCAGTCCAAATATCCCTCTTTTACTTTAAAATCATCTCCCCTTGTCCTTTCACAACAGGCCCAGTAAAAACTTTGTCCCCACATCAGGTGGGTGAGTGAGGCCCGAGTGCTTCCCCTTCCCCTTGGCCTGCAAGCCAGACCCCTCTGCCCCCCGTTCCCTGCCTGCCCATGCCCTGCCTGCCCTGGCAATGATTTACACCAGGATCTCTGAACCATTAAACTCCTCCAGCATGGCTGCAAAGCCCGGGGGGCACCACCCACGCCTCCTCTGGGCTGCCCACACCTCTCCCCTACCCCTGCAGGCTGCCGGAGCCCTTGGGGATGCTCTTGCGACATTTCCCAGTGTTAATTGGGCATGGGGAGGTTCGGGATAAGCCCATTCTAAGCCCCAAAGGCTTTGGCACAGGCAGGTGGAGCAGCAGCAGGAACAGCTTCCCCCCATGGGACACAGCCCCGACAGGACCAGCCCGGCCCGTGCCCATCCCGGAGCTGCGGTGACTCACGAGGAGCCCAGCACCCCCGGCCCTCGCAGCACCCACGCTCCCCTGCCCTCCACAACCTTTGGATTTTTCCCTGCCGTGACATCACCTTCCCACTCACGCCCCCGCAGCAGCAGCTCTGTCACAGGATCACGGGAGATGAGTCTGCAGGCCAGGGAACGGGTCAAACCCCGATGCAGTCACACATGGGATGAGCTCCAGGGCTTCCTCGCTCCCCGGGACCACGCCACGCAGTGACACAGCCCCTCAGAAAATACAGAAAAATTCTGCCTCCAAAATACAGGGTGTGACTCCATCACCAGTCACACACCTAATTTTCTGGAAAATTCTGGGGGAAAATAAACCCGTTCTCCAACCAGCCGAAGATTCCAGTCTCCTCTGTGGTAGATTACAAGGCTCTCCCTTCATCTTCATGCTTCCACCCAGAGAACCTGCTCATTAACCTCCTTCCCTGCTAATTTCTGGCCCGACACATCCTCAGGAGCTTGTTTCTGCAACAGCCACAACCTTGTGCTGAGCCCTTGTTACACAGGGGTTCAACCCACCAGGAGCATAAAACTCCATGTGAGGGTTTAAAAAGCAACAGGTCAGGACTTGTGAGGTATTTTCACAGTCTCAGAACGTTTGGGTTTGGAAGGGATCTCAAAGACCATCTACTTCCAACTCCCTGCCATGGTTTCTGTCTTTTTGTCCCTTCTTGCTGCCCGTTACCCCTGCCCCAGGAACAGGGATCTTTCTGGGCAGCTGCAGCCCAGGGGATGCAGGAAATAGCCAGAGAAATCCAGCTGAGTCACAAAAAGAAGCACTGCTGCTGATTTAGCCAATTTGTGATCTTTTGGACAAATTCCAGCCCATTTTAGAGCATCTCAGCAGGGAACAGGAATCTGGAGAGACAGCCCCACACAGACTGACAGGGCTTTTCCACATTTTGCTTACACTTCCTGCCTAGAGCACAAAAGAACACATCCACATCTCCACTGCCTGCAGCATTCCCTACAGACATTTAAGAGGTATTTTACCCTCTTTCTTAGATTTAGTTTTTAACCACCCCTCCTCAGCTGTACCTTGTAGACAGCACTGGGGGAACAGGGATGTTTTCCTCAAACTTTCCCACTCCAGAGGGAGCCCAGGGCCCCCAGCTCTGCTGCTTCCTGCAAAACAAGGGCAAAGCCATGCCCAGGCTCAGACTGCCCCAATCCACCCGGCTGGCCATGAGCAGAACAAGAGTGCCAGGGCCCACAAAACACCCCACTTCCACAGAGCCATGCCTGACCATTCCCAAGCCTCCCAAGCCATATGAATCCTCCTCTGCTGTGTCCCTGGGAACTGTGGGCACAGTTGCCAAGCGTTTCTGAAGTGGCACAGCTCACACAGAGGAGCCAAACTGCAGAGCTGTAGCCACGACTGTGCAGCAGCCATCACCTTGGCCTTTGGAACGGAGATACAAGAAACTCCAGACTCCTTCTCCCCATAATTCCATGACAGCCACCCAAGCGGCGCCTGCTGCAGGGGCAATGGCCAGGGCCAGGGAGTCCTTTTACGTTTGTGTTCCAGGATGGAGCTGTTTGTTCCTGGGGACAATGCTGTCCTGGCCACCGAGGCCACGCTGGCACCGGCTCTGGGCAGGTCGGCGAGCCCTGCCTGTGTCCTGGTTGCTGTGTAAACACTGTCCTGTGGCTTTTCCTGCTCCAGGGACTGGCACTGGGACTGCCACGCTAATGCTTCCAGCCCAGCTCTGCTAAACCAGGGAGGGGCGATGCCTAAGGTTTTTAGCTTTTAATATTTTTCATATATTTCATATATTTGTAGCTTTTTAGATTGTTAATGCAAGGCTGTAACTCCTAGTACTTTTCATATCTTTCTTCCCTACATTTAGGAACAATGAGCTACCCTTAGAAACACTTTCCCAAAATATTGTTTAGTCTTATTCCAAGAAGAGAATCAACTACAAGGATGTCCTGTTTTACAAACAGAATGTGGACCAGACAAAACAAAAGTGGGACTGCTTTCAGTGTGGCAGGACCCCAGAATTATTATCTAATCAACTAAGCTTTTAATTGGAGAGTATATGATAAGTATACTAATCAAATAACCTTATAAAAATTGTAGAAATACTATAGCATGTGTGATTTTTGCCATATTGTGTACCTGAAAGCTTTCACTAAAGGTTTGCTTTCACATCCACTCTAACATTGTTGGGAAGATCTGTTCTGTTTTCCAGGCAGCAGGGGTGCTCACCTCTCTCCAGGGAGAAGAAAGTTTCCTTGGAGTTTTATCCTTGTGCACCTAGGCCTGGGAAAGCACACCTGCCTGGGAAAATCCCAGCACTTTGACTCTTTCTCCTTCCTGCTTTCCTTTGGACACCACTGAGTTTGGAATTAAAAAAAAAAAAAAAAAAAAAAAAAAAAAAAAAAAAAAAAAAAAAAAAAAAAAAAAAAAAAAATCTAATCTGCTCTTTCTGCTGAGATAAAGCCATTCCCCCACAGCCTCCCCCTGGTTTTTGTTCTGGGACCTCCCCCCAGATAACACCCAGACAAACACAACCTCCTCCAGAGCCTTCCAGCACGGGGACACATTATCCACCTGCCCTTTTGATGTCCTCTGAAGCGGAACCCAGCATTCCTGCTCCCTCCCAGCCCCTCTGGAGTGCTTTAAGCACCTCCTGTCCCACCACTGGAGCCTCTGGATGATTATCTCCCCTTCCTGCAAGTCACTAACCTGGCACTTGCCACCAGCTGCCATCGGCCTCACCAGCACTGCCTTCCTCATCCTCAGCCTGGATTTCCAGCAAGGCCTTTTTCCCCAGCACAGCATCACCTCTCCCTGTGCTTTTCCAACAGCTTCTCCAAGGAGTATGACCACAAAGAAAACCTACTGCTGATGGCCAAGGAGTCCCCAGGGTGATGCTGGAGCACACAGAACCAGCCTGGGACTCGGAGCAGGCTGGGCAGCCAGGCTCAGGGCAGCTGTGTTCCGCAGGGTGGCCACAGGTATTTTGGTATGGATGGAGGTTTGCTGGGGATTTTATTTCTCTAAGCCACCTGCACTGGATATTTAGCTGGATATTTAGCTGCTTCTAAGCGCCCTGACATCAGTTCCTGCCTGTGAAATGCACTGGGAATGAGAAAAGCATGGAGCAGCAGGGGAGGCAACACATCCCTGGGCTGCTGGAGGGATCTCTCCTCGCAGGCTCCAGGCAGAGCAGGCAGACAGCCCTGCCCAGCCCTGGCCTCTGGCATCTCCTACAGCACCGCCACGGCGCCAGGCACCGGCACTCAGCTCTCTCCAGGGCACCGACGGCCAAACATTCCTCCTTCCCCAGCCACTTCCCTTCCCAAGGCTTTTCCAACCCGTGCAATTACACAGCTAAAATCAAAGGTGTTTCACACACTTCCGAGTCACCCGAGTCCAGGGCTGGCTCACCAGCCCCACACCCACATGTTCTTTGCTGACACCTGGGAGGTTTCCCTTTCTGGCTCTCACGCCAGGACAGCCAGGGCTGTGGACACTTGCAGGACACTTGGATTTGTTGTAGAGGGATGTGTTGTGGCAGCATCCCATCTGGCAGTGGCCTAGGTCTGCTCCAGAGAGGCTGGAAAGCAGGACCACACCTCCAGGTGCAGCATCACCTCACCAGGCTCCATCCACCACACAGAGCCAAGGGCTGCCCATCTCACACGGGACAAGCTCATGGAGCTGCTGGCTTCTGCTCCCACATCCACACTTCCCAACAAACCAGCCATGCTCTGCTCAGCACGCTCGTCCCCAGCACGCCACCTCCAAAAATCAAACACCAGAACCAGCAGACAACCACTCTAGGACATGCTTGGGAGATGTCTGGGCTCAGCCTGGGGGACACCTTGGTCCCCTCCCTGCTGCTGGTCCTCCCCCAAAGTGCCAGCCCAGGGTTCCCGAAAACACAGCCAGCACTCCTAGCACGGCCAGCCCGGCGCCGGCCAGGGCTGACGAGGTGCCCCAAGCCCACGAGTCCCCAAGGGGTGTCCCCAAGGAGAGACCCTAAGGGGTGTCCCCAAGGGGTGACCCCAAGGAGTGACCCCAAGGAGAGATCCCAAGGAGTGACCCCAAGGAGTGACGCCAAGGGGTGACCTCAAGGGGTGTCCCCAAGGAGTGACCCCAAGGGGTGACCCCAAGGAGTGACCCCAGGGGATGTCCCCAAGGAGTGACCCCAAGGGGTGACCCCAAGGAGTGACCCCAGGGGATGTCCCCAAGGAGTGACCCCCAGGCACCGCCGCTCCCCAAACGCCGCCGCTCCTTTGCTGCTGCTTTGCGGGGCGCTTCCCCGCCCTTCGCAGGTGTTTCCCCGAGCTTTGGAAGTGATCCTGCTCAGCCCGAGCCGCAGCCGGCTCCGACTCCCCTCCGCTCCCGCTCCCGCTCCCGTTCCCGGTCCCGTTCCCGCTCCCGCTCCCGTTCCCGGTCCCGTTCCCGTTCCCGGTCCCTTTCCCGTTCCCAGTCCCGGTCCCGGTCCTGTTCCCGTTCCCAGTCCCGCTCCCGTTCCCGGTCCCGCTCCCGCTCCCGTTCCCGGTCCCGGTCCCGTTCCCGGTCCCGGTCCCTTTCCCGTTCCCGTTCCCGGTCCCGTTCCCGTTCCCAGTCCCGTTCCCGGTCCCGCTCCCGCTCCCGTTCCCGTTCCCGTTCCCAGTCCCTTTCCCGTTCCCAGTCCTGCTCCCGGTCCCGCTCCCGGTCCCGCTCCCGTTCCCGCTCCCGGCGGGACTGAGCCCAGCCCGCCCCGCTCCCGGTTCCCGGAGCTCCGGCGGGTCCCAGCCCAGCGGGTCCCGTCCCCGCCGCCCCCCGAGCCCCCGTACCTCCGGCAGGGCCGCGGCGGGTCCGGCGGGGCCGCTCCGCCCTCCCGGCCCGGCGCTCCGGGGCGGCGCCGCCGGGCCCGGCCCCGCCCCGGGCTCGGCTCCGGAGCTCGGACCGACGGAAGCGGGCGGGAGGCTGCCCGCAAACCACCTGGGAGACCCCCAGAACCGGCTGTGAGCACGCTGGGGATGCCGATCGCCTCACCCCCTCGGAGCAGTTGCAGCCCCTGCTTGATGCATCGCAGCCCTGCTTTCAAGGATCCCGGAATGGTTTGGGTTGGGAGGGACATTAAAGCCCGTCCCGTTCCAGCCTGCCATGGGCAGGGACACCTTCCACTATCTCAGGTTGCTCCACACCTCATCCAGCCTGGCCTTGGATGGGACAGCCACAGCTTCTCTGGGTAACCTGAGCTACGGCCTCAGCATCCTCCCATGGAAAAATCCATTCCCAATACCTAATGAAAGTTTTACTTTTTATTCTACAGTTTGAAACCCATCTTGCAATGGAGCTGCTTTGTAAAACTCTTGTAGCAATGAGCAGAGCTTTTACTCCATGAGTTCCAAGCTTTGTTTGAGGAACTCCAATAGCTCAGGCTCATCGCTGACACTGACATCACAGGCATACAACAGAGCAAAGCCAAGCTTGCACTCACAGCGAGCCTGGAAATCACTTTTTGTCAGTCTGCTGCTCTCTAGAAACATTCCCAGTTAACCACTTGTGTGCTGGGAAGAGCTGTTTCAGGCACGGCCCTCACCACAGCTCCTGGCCACATGCCTTGGCCTCACAGCCAGACATTCCCATGGTTTCCAGACTGAACCACGGGGAGCAGAGCTGGGCTCTGGCAAACCTCAGTGCAACTAACGCCGGGTCCAGTGTCACCTCTCCTTGGCTGCCATCCCAGCAGCAATGAGGATGTGTTTTTCCAGGCTCTTCTCACACCCAGCTATAATAATAAACACCACCAAGGACTCAAATCCTGTTAGAAATGATACTCAGAGTGGGTTTTTTTTTCGTGATCTAAGCAAAAAACTACGTCACTATGCTGCTGGACCAGCCACTGCAGTTTTTCCTGTCCCTTAAGTCCTGTGAGACCTTGTGGAGGCAAAAGCCATCGTGAACCAAATGAAACTTGTCACATCACCGGGCGTGATTCAGCTCCACAGCCCTGCCTCGGGGCCACTGGTGTTCAGGATGCTTGGGAAACCTCCGCTGCTTCCCTGCATCTCTCCCTACCAGCACAACCCCACATGGAGCTGATGGCATTTTCCACTGACTCACCTGCCCGTGGTATCTCCCCTCTCTAATCAAAGGGCAATTTCCAAGAGCTGTGCTATAAAAAGAAACAATTATTAAACATAGCTGCATTTTTTTTTCCCCTTGGATGGATCGTTTTGCATTTTTCAGCTTGGCCACTGGCTCAGGCAAATTCACCCCACTTCAGGTGGATTTTCCCCTCTCCTTCTTCACCTTCCTGAGTCAAACACAAACCTGACATCCCAAGCAGCTCTGGCAGTCAGGAGACACAGCAGGGAATTGTTTTCTCTGTAAGAAAGCGGGGGGAACATGGACTTCACACAGTGACTGTCACCAATCCGGCGCTGGGAGAGCTCCGTGCCCGAGCCAGGTCACCCCCCTGCAGAGGCCCGTGAGCACAGAGGGGACATTCATAACGTGGTTCCTCGGGTTGCCACTCCACAAAGCTGAATATTGGCCAGGAATGAGCTTTTCAGTGGCACTGGAGCAGGATCAAGGGAGGGGGGTTTGCCTTCACCCTTTGGATGGCTGCTAAAGCACCTGCCTCTCCCTGACACACATTCTCTGTGGGAAAATGTATTCACATCCATCCCTTGGGCTCATTTCCCTTTCCAGCTCTGCAGCCATCCCAGTGTGGGGATTTATCTCTGGCAAGTCAAATCTTTCCCCTGCAAACACTCCTTGCCCAGTCCCAGGCTGGGACTTCTCCAGGGTGATTATCCAGCCAGGTATGCAGGGCACAGAGCACAGGAATGCCAAGGAGGAAACTGGAGCTCCACCAGAGCCACCAGCAGGTAACAAAAAGGGCCTTTCAGAGGAGCATCTGATGCCCTGCTACGTGCAGAGGTGCCAGGGGCTCACATTATCCTGCCTTAGAAATTGCTCAATGGCACATTTCTCTGCTTTTTCCTGCTCAAAGGTGCTCAATGTGTCCAGTGGAAGGCTGGACATGTTCCTGGATTCTTCCAAAACTTCCCAACAGTGAGGCAAAATCACTGCTCCAGCTGGATAGCCACAGCTGGATGGCTTGTTCTGAAAGAGATAAAGCCCATCCCTGGAAGCCAGGTCAGTAGAGCCACCAGACTGTACATTTATATTATACTGTAATTATTGTAATAATTACTGTAATGATAATTGTAAAGCCATGGAGTGATAGGACAAGGTGAAATGGGATCAAACTGGCAGAGGGCAGATCTAGATTAGATATGAGGAAGAAATTCTTGCCTGTGAGGGTGGGAAGGCCCTGGCACACGTTGCTTAGAGAAGCTGTGGCTGCCCCATCCCTAGAGGTGTTCAAGGCCAGGCTGGATGGAGTTGAGAGCAAAGTGGGATAGTGGAAGCTGTCCCTGCCCATGGCAGGGGGTGGGATGAGATGGTCTCTAAGGTCTCTTCCTATCCAAACTATTCAGTGATTTGATGATTAATGGAGTTAACAGCTAATAAACACCAGAAATATAATACACATCCGTATGTAAATATAATGTATAATGGAGAATGGCAGGGCCCAGCTTTGCCTCCAGGATGAAAGTCCATCCCAGCCTGCTCCATGATGGGCTTCCTCAGATCCCATTCCCAGCCCACGCACACCACTCTATACTTTTCTCTCTTAGTTCCTGCACCCAAATTTAGAGTCCCTGCTGGGCTGCAGGCTGGGAACTTGCCATGCAAGTGGCAAAAAAGAGAAGCAGCCACTTGGGAGCATTTCCACACGCTCCCGGCGGGAGGGTGCGACCTGCCGGCATCTCCCGGCGGGCTGAGGATCCGGCGCCCCGGGGCTGCCGGGGCCGGTACAACCGGTTCAACCACCGGGCCACTCTCCGCTGCTGCTTCGAGCACACGCACAGGCTGGGAAACACTGTAAATAAAGCCACTGTGTTCACAGGAATGACAGTAAATAACCTGCTGCTTCCTCCTGGAGCTGCTGCATCCCATCAGTGAAGCTCTGGCTTGGGCAGGACTTGGGAATGGGAGACCCAGGGTTGAGGAGAGCACAGCTGGAAGAGAAGGGCTACGGTTGTGTTGTGAAGATGGTTATTTGTAAGAGTAGAGCAGAGATTTGTGTAGCCTTTCAAAATTAGGAGCAGCTGGTGAATGAGGGCTGTTGTCCAAGAGCAGGAAGATGCTGGGAGATCAATCACTAGCAGTGATAAAACTCCAAGGAAACCTTCTTACCTGGATATGAGGCCTTGTCACAGCTCCAGTGTCCCAGCTGGATGGAGCGGAGCCACTCGTGCTCTGCTGGTGCTCGTGGCTGTGTCAGGCTGGGGCAGGGGGAAGCTAGACAGGGGCTGAAGTGGGGACAGCTGCAGGGAGAGTGGCAGAGCAGGATGTCCCAAAGGATGTCTGCAGTGAGGGACACGGCAGGCACTGCTGCATCCCTGGGCTGTGCAGGGGAGGACTCAAGGATACTATCAGTGCTGGCTTTGTACATACAAAACAAACTGGAAAACTCCTCCAGGGGAAACACGGAAAATAGGTGAATTAATAACAGGCACATTCCCAAATTTTCAGCAGTACTGAGCAATAAACCAGCAGCCTCAGCAGCAGCCCTTGACACCAGCTTTTGGGGAGATCACCATCACCCACACTCTGCGACCCACCCCATGCCAAACCTCACCAACCTCCTGATGATTGATTCAGCTGTTTGGGGTACATCAGTTTAGCTCTTTAGCACCAAAAATCCAGCCCGGGGAGATCACCAGCTAAAGCTGTGGGTGAGTCAGTGCAGAGGCAGGAAACGTCCCAGACTCACCCCTGTGTTTCCCTGCTGTGACCTCTCAGCCCCATTCCCGAGCTGCAGGCTGCCAGTGCAAGGCTGGCACGGCAGGTGAACCCAGCTTGTTGTAATGTCACCCAGAGATGATGCCAGCACTGGCTCACACCCCTGGAGGTGCTGGGGACAGAACCCTCTGTGGGGCACCCCGGCCACCCCACACAGCACCCCAAACCCCCACGGCCTGTTGGGATGTTTGCCTTTCTCGGTCTAAAGTCCTCGCCAGAGAAAAAGCTCCTGTGAGCGTCTGTACAAACGAGCGCGGTGCAAAGTGCACCGACGGTCGCACCTAAAACAAACACGGCTTTGTTTGAGTTCCTCCGGGGCACGGGAACTCGGGGACTGCTCACACGGTGGCAGCAGCGCAGCACGGAGCTGCACAACCAGCACGGCGGGGATGCAGCAGGGATGGGGATGATGTGGATGCAGCAGGGATGAGGATGATGTGGGATGCAGCAGAGATGAGGATGATGTGGATGCAGCAGGGATGGGGATGATGTGGATGAAGCAGGGATGATGATGTGGATGCAGCAGGGATGAGGATGATGTGGGATGAAGCAGGGATGGGGATGATATGGATGCAGCAGGGATGAGGATGATGTGGGATGAAGCAGGGATGAGGATGATGTGGATGCAGCAGGGATGAGGATGATGTGGATGCAGCAGGGATGGGGATGATGTGGATGCAGCAGGGATGGGGATGATGTGGATGCAGCAGGGATGGGGATGATGTGGATGCAGNTGGATGCAGCAGGGATGGGGATGATGTGGATGCAGCAGGGATGGGGATGATGTGGATGCAGCAGGGATGGGGATGATGTGGATGCAGCAGGGATGAGGATGATGTGGGATGCAGCAGGGATGAGGATGATGTGAGATGAAGCAGGTTGGGAGGACAAAGGCACCAAGAAGCCCCCCCACAGCCCAGGACATCACAGCCACAGGGAGTGTGGCCCCTCTGCTTGGCTCGGGTGCAGGAGGTGAGCTGTGACCTACACAGGGTCTG